GGGGACTGGGGGGGGGGGTTTAAGCCTTCTTGGTTCGGGCTCTGGATCCGGGCGTGTCCCTTGCCAAATTAGACAAGGGAACAGTGTGTCCTTAGGTGATTGGCTGGGGGTAGGGGGGATAGTATCAGAAGATGGGGGGGAGGGGGCGGGGGCGGTCCCTGGATGGAAAGTCCTGGATGGAAAGTTTCGGTTTCCCATCTAGGCTTCGACTTACTGGAGATGATGTGGTGGTGGTCAGGGCTGCTTTGACGGGAAGATCAGCCATTTTGACCCAGTTTGAGATGTCCGCCATTTTGGGTGCCCCTGTCTCAGCCAGCCCAACAATACACACACACACACACACACACACACACACACACACACACACACACACGTGTTTCTAAAAACTATTACGTGTATTCATACATTTGACAATCTAAGGATTTCGGGTACGATAGACAATGTGCCCGTGTTTCCTACTGACTTTTCACCAGAGACTGAGGTTTCTAGGAGTTAACAGTCTGCCGCCTGGGTGGCTCAGCGGTTGAGGGGTTGAGCATCGGACTTTGGGTCAGGGCCCAATTCTGGGGCGGGGGGGCGGTGGTGGTGGGGGTCTTGTTGTTGTTGTTGTTGTTGTTTTGTTTTGTTTTCCCAGTTGTGGTAAAAAGAAAAATAGACGTCACCTACAATGGAATGTTGTAGTCGTTTCTTTTCTTTTTTAAAAAAATATTTTATTTATTTATTCATGAGAGACACAGAGACAGAGACACAGGCAGAGGGAGAAGCAGACTCTATGCAGGGAGCCTGACGTGGGACTCGATCCTGGGTCTCCAGGAACAGGCCCTGGGCTGAAGGCAGACGCTAAGAATCCGCTGAGAATCCGCAAACGGATGAAGGAACCGGTAGACAGATGAAAAACACAGGAAATATATATATGCATACACACTTTCTCTCTCTCTCTCTCTCTCTCTCTCTCTCACACACACACACACACACACACACACACACACACACACCCCACACAAACTGAATCCAGCGATGTATAAGGATAATACATCATGAAAGACTGGAGTTTACTCTAGGAATGCAAAGGTACTTCAGGAAACTGATTAACTCAATTTTACATATCAAAGATGGAAAAAAATCATATGATCATCTCAACAGATACAGTAAAAGTATTTGATAAATGCTCTCAAGCATGATGAAAACTCACCAAGTAGTAATATAAAGTGACTCTGTTAAGTTGATTAAGAATAGTTACAAAAACACCTCCAGCGAATCCCATAATTTACTGATGAAACTAAGAGTGTTCCTCTTGAAATCAGAAACACGGGCAGGAAGTCCACTATTGTCACCTCCAGTGAATGCTGCACAATAAATTCCAATAAGCACAGGAAGACGAGAAAAATAAGGATATAAAAACTGAAAAGAAAATTTTCACTACTCATAGACTTAGGATTCCATAACAGAAAAAATACAAAAGGAATTAGAAATACGTTACTAGAATTAAGTGCTTTGGCAAGGTCGCTGAACACAAAAGCAACGGTACTTCCAAATACCAGCAATAGGTAACACAAAAAATAAAAGATAGTTACAATGTTATATAAAATGCAAGGGAAAAATCTATAAAGTAATACATGTAAAACCACTGTGTGAAAAGTGTAAAATTTAATTGAAAGACAGTAAAGACCTAAAGAAATATGTCATATTAATGACTGGAAGACTCCATATCATAAAAATGTAAATTTTCCCCAAAGTGATCTTAGAGATTCCATGAGTCCAGTCAAATTCATGAAAATTTTGAGGCACCTGGGTGGCTCAGTCATCAGTTAAGCATTGGCCTTTGGCTTAGGTCATAGGAATCATTCTTAGGAATTGAGCCCTGTGTCTCCCTCTGCTCCCTGCTCATGCATGCTCTTGCTATCTTCTGTGTCTTTCTCTCAAATAAATAAAATCTTTAAAAAAAATTCATGAAGGTTTTGTGAAACTTAACTAGCTTATTCTAAAATTTATGGGAGGGGCAACCCGGGTGGCTCAGCGGTTTAGCGCCACCTTCAGCCCAGGGCGTGATCCTGGAGACCCGGGATTGAGTCCCATGTCAGGCTCCCTGTAGGGAGCCTGCTTCTCCCTCTGCCTGTATCTCTGCCTCTCTTTTTCTTTCTCTCTGTGTGTCTCTCATGAATAAATAAATAAAATCTTCAAAAAATATAAAATAAAATTCATGGGAAAGTACCAGGGCTGTAAAGAGCCATGGCAATCTTTAAAAATAAAGCAAGTGGAAAAAAAATAAATAAAATAAAGCAAGTGGGACTAGCTCTCAGAGATACAAAGCTAAGTAGTATAAATTTATAGTATAAACTACTATAAACTTTATAGTAATTTAGACCATGATGTAATGGTATGGTGATGGACAGAAAGCCTAACTGAGCAGATGAGTGCCCAGAACTAGACCTGTGCATTTGGACATCTGATGGATGAGAGTGGTTCTGTAGGTAAAATACAGACTATATTGTAAGGTGATGCTGGAAAAAAAAAAGTATAATGTAATCCTTACCTCATGTCATACACAAAAAGCTCTTCTAATTAGGTTAAAGACCTAACTAGGAAAAGCAAAGCTATATATGAGGTATTTAGAAGACAATATAGAACAAAAGCTTTAAGCTATCTTTCCTTGATATGAGGTCATAAATCAGTAATAAAAAGTAGAATACATAAAGGAAAAAAATTAGTCACATTAGAGTTAACTTTTATTAATGAAAAAGTACCATCAAGAATGGGAAAAGCTAAGCCACATCCCTTGGAAAAGATATTTAACCAACAGGAATTGGTATCCAGAATATGTGAAGAATTCCTATGAACTGATAATAATGGGCAAGAAGACTGACATGCAAACAGTAACTACAATTCATGCTTAAGGTCTATTAAATTAGCAAGAATTGGGGCACTTGGGTAGTTCAGTGGTTGAGCCTCTGCCTTTGGCTCAGGGCGTGATCCCAGGGTCCCAGGATTGAGTGCTGCATCAGGCTCCCTGCGAGGAGCCTGCTTCTCCCTCTGCCAGTGTTTCTGCCTCTCTCTGTGTGTCTCTCGTGAATAAATAAAATTTTAAAAAAATTAGCAAGAATTAGTAAGCCTGACAAAATTAAGTATTGCCAAAGATGCAAAAGGATCTCTTTCACAGTACTGGAGATGGTCCACTTTTGAAAGGAAACTGAATGTATATACAACTGATGGCCCAGTATTATTACTCCTAAAGAAATTCTTGCACGCGTAGATATGTAAAGCAGTATTCATGACAAGATTGCTTCTGATAGCAAAAGCAAATAACAAAAAACTATTAACAACCCAAGCATCTATAAACAATAGAACTACTGAATATTTAGTATATTCAGAGTGGAATACTAGTTAGTAATAAAAATGAGTTTTGAGACTAACATGAATGAATCTCAAAAATGTAATAATGAAAGAGAATATATAATATGCATATACATTCAGAAAAAGGCAAAACTAAAGTCTTTTGGGTAGAGATACATATACAGTAGGGAAAATGAAGAATAACGAGTGAAAAATCATCATAGAAATCAGAATGGTTACTGTTATGGGGAGTGAGGGTGTGTGATCAAGGAGTGGCATACATCTAGAGGTCTTTCACTGATAATGTTATCTTAATCTGGGTAGCTGGTACACTTCATCTAGGTAGCTGTTTGCTTTATAATTCATTAAATTACACAATTACATTTTATATACTTTTAGTATTTATGGTAGTTTGCAACAGAAATTAATTTGGCACATTTTCATTTGACTTTTGGTAATAAAATACTTTATTGGTACCGTTTAATGTCAAAAAACACAGTAATACTGTTTCCATTGCTTAGCTTCCATTTTTAAGTTAAGGCTCATTTAAAAAAAAAGAAGAGAAAAGGTAAAATCATTTGATTCTATCAAAAAACAAGCTGCAAACTTACCTGTGCAAATAATTAGGTTCTTCCACTTTAAATACCTAAATTCACTGGTCTTCATAATAAATAATGGTATATAAGATGAGACATTGGTCTGAATAATTCTGCAGAGAACATTTTACACATCTTTAAAAAAGTCTAAATGCTACCCAACTTAAAACTTGTAAGAATAATTTGTAAGAGTTACTGTAAAATGAATTCATGTAAGCACCAAGAAATTTGGGATCTTTAATATTTCAGATGATATGATTTACTGAGTACAAAGAGTATGATTTTTCTTCGTGAATTTGTGTTTATATACAAATAGAAAGGATACAAGATAGGCTCCTTTTAAAAGCCAAAGATTCAAAATCTGTGAATGACTTTTACCATATTTCCAATTTCTGGATCTAGCAAGGGACCCTATGGTAAAAGATCCGTGTGTGATAAATAACATAGTACAGTCCTATCTGAATATCACTTCTTATTCATCTTGCCTCATTAATATAATTTATACCTCAATTAAAATATTCTATCTGCAAACAATATATTTATCTAAAATATTTTGTAATTCAGATTGCCATTCAGACCACCTTCTCCTCTGCCTCTTTTCTCAAATCATTGTAATTTTATGGTACACCTCATTAAATTGTTTTTTTTTCTCCCTTCAGTGAAACTGTCAACTCAAAGCACCACATTATTACAAACACAGATATAGCATATATTAACATACTAGAAAAAAAGATAATACATATGGATCTATGCTAAATGAGACAATGCAAACCAAAAAACACACAACACCATGCTATGTTCATCTATTCTGAAGCACTGCAAGAAGGCCCTGATAGCACCCTGGCTCATGTAAACTGATGTTCCCAGATATCACTAGTGCCCTGTACTCCAACATAATTAAATGTTCTATTAAAGACATTTCCACATTTGTTTGCTTAAAACAATCTACAGCAGCTTTGACTACTAATCTTGAAAATGATGATAACACATTATAGTTTCAATCAAGTCATAGATTCTAAGCTAAGTATTTTCTGTTATCATCCATTTATTTAATAACACATTCAGGGAGCTAAGCAACATTCAGTTTAAGGGGTTTTTACTTCGCTCTCTTTTGATTGTGAATTTCAGATGTGTCCTTTAGTCATCCTCGGCTTCAGTGAAAGAGGATTCTTCAAGCAACTGATTAAAAGATCTTAATTTAAAAGCAGGTTGACTAAGTGGTCAGCAGCTGAAGCACTCTTGTCTACATACTGCATCCATAATACTCTGTCCTCTCTGGAGGAACTGGATGCCCCTGACCTACCACGAGCGTAACACATTCCATCCCTCAACCCAGAGGCAGCCAGGGTACATTAGAACATGGGTAGAAACTAACTCAAAACTACTTTGGGGGCAAACACCAGATTTCGATTTGTCAGCAATTCCATAGTGTGGTTTTCTCAAGAAACAGGCTTTGCACTGAAACACTTGCTTTCTCTTCTCATATCAAGTTAAACTGCTAAAGTAGTATCAGAAAGAGCACAAAAGATAAGCATGTCTTCTCTGAAAGAGGCACTGCATCTGGAATCGGAATTAAGGCTGAATAAATAATGCTGGTTTGTGGTTTAGACAAATGTGCCAATGGTTACGTTAACCAACAGCTTCGCTCTTTGTCCTGTATGCCTGTTTGTGAAGATGCGTCTCTGTCTCCTCCCTGAAGACCAGCATTCCTAGGTGCGAGTGAGAGGCCTCATTCATGGCTTTGGCCTGGATGCACACACGGTACTGTTCAGGAGTCAACTCATCAGCACAGCGTTTCTCATGCCAGAGGTGGAAAAGACCAGGAACTGGAGTCCGAATCACAATCAGGTCACCATGTAAGTATTTTCGATAAAGATGAACATCTTCTCCACACCAACCTTTTACTTCCACGTCAAATCCACCTGCAGGATGAAAACTGACATGTCGGTAACTGCCTGTCAACCAAAGCACAACTGATAAGAATTAAGATGTTCCACTTCAAATGAGATGGCACAGCACAGCCTAAAGATACCCGAGAGAGGACTGACATCTGGTTTGGAAGTCCAGTTAGGAGCTGACTTCTAGCAGCAAAGGCCTGTTGTTGGGAGTATCAAAATGAGATTAAATATTTGAGAATGCTTTGTAAATGTCTAAGTTAAATAGTAAATCTAGAGAAAGTCAAAGGAGAAGGAAATATAAATCACCCATAATTTCACCACTACTAATATTATGATTAACATATTTATCCACTGAGATACAAGTTTTTCTGGGCCACAGACAACTTTCCAGAGGAGAAAACAGAAGAAATGGCTAGGTTGAACATATACATTTGAGAAGGGGAGCATGGATGATTTAAAGCCACAGGAATGGATGAAATTACTAAAGGTGTTTAGAAAGAAAATAGGCCCAGATCTAAATACTAAGTAATGCCAATACCTACAGGTTAAACATACAGAGAAAAAGAAATCAGCAAAAGAGACTGACAAATGGCCCCAGAGGATGAAGAAAATTCTGGAGAATGAGCTATCAGTAGTCAAATGAAAAAAGTATCTTCAGGAAGAAAGGGTCAAGCGAGTGCTGCTCAGTTAAGAATTTTAAAAAAAAGGACACCTAAGTGGCTCAGCAGTTGAGCATCTGCCTTTGGCTCAGGGCATGATCCCAGAGTCAGGGATCCAGTCCCGCACTGGGCTCCCTGCGAGGAGCTTGCCTCTCCTGCCTCTCTCTGTGTGTCTCTCATGAATAAATAAAATCCTAAAAAAAAAGAATTAAAAGAAAGAAAAAAAAACAAAAAAAGACCTGGCAACATAAATGTCACTTATAACCTTCCCTACTACAATAATTCTAATGGAGCGATGGAGCAAATGACTAACTGGACCAGGTGAACACATGAAATGGAACATAAAGTTGAGACTATTTTCACATTGGTTTAAGCTAAACTTTCTTAAAGAATCATAGAGAACATAAGCCATTTGGAATTTTTGTTTTTGACCATTCGGAATTTTTTGAAGAACAGGCAAACATTCTTAAAAACTCAAAACAAATTCTTTAATTAAGAGCAAGTTTTCCGAATTATGTCTTCTGTCGAATAATTATATACCACTTAATTTTATACTCACGGGGGATCCCTGGGTGGTGCAGCTGTTTGGCGCCTGCCTTTGGCCCAGGGCGTGATCCTGGAGACCCGGGATCGAATCCCACGTCGGGCTCCCGGTGCATGGAGCCTGCTTCTCCCTCTGCCTGTGTCTCTGCCTCTCTCTCTCTCTCTCTGTGTGACTATCATAAATAAATAAAAATTAAAAAAATCTTAAAAAAATTTTACACTCACGGGATGACAATAATCCTGAGATCTCTGAAAAGTATTGCTTTAAATAGTCATAGCTTTTATAAAACACTATGTCTAATACATACTGGTTTTTCTTCTCTGTAGATAAAAGTTCTTCAAATATTAGAGATGGTATAGATACTTAAAACAAATGAGGGACTTCCAGTTTCTGGTCCAGCATATACATCGCTTAGAAGTCATACCATCCTAACAGCAAGTGAAAAGCGAAACAAACTGAAAAATAAACACTCCTCTCAGATCCCTCAGAGAAATAAGGTCACAGATCAGATTGCCACCACCAAATTGGAGACTCAGGCAGGTAAAATGGAATCACAACTATTAGAGCAGAAAGCCACCAGTAGAAATCTCCAGGGGAACCAGTCTGAGGTGGGGGGGGGGAATTGGAACTGTAATTGACGAATGGCTAGAGGCTCAGTGGACAAGTGTAAAAGTTGAAAACTCCAGATTGGGGGGCATAGAATGGTCCCTACACTTGTGTGAGTTTTACCCTCAGGAGCTCTAGTAGGTTTTCACTGTGAAGATTAGAGCAAAATACCCTCGTGCTTTCAGCAGGAGCAGTGGGAATATAATCGTTGTGAAACATGCCAGAGCACTTTATTCTTAATAAGGCCTGCCTCAGGAGAAACTATTTTACTAGAGTCAAACCTACCTGGGGAAAGGACATACCCAACTGCAGCCCACTCTAGCCATCCTGTCTCACTTAAGGTTGGGGATGGTGTCTGAGAAACACTTGTGAAGTTATTGGTCCAGATACATAATCTCACTAAGGAACTGAGACCTAATCACAGGACTACAGAATACTTCCTCTTTCCCCACACCTCACCACCTATTACTAGTTTACTGCAGTTTCCTTTGCCCAATACATCATGTTCAGTTATGAAGAAAAAATGAGGCATACTAAAAGACAAAAGACAGATTGAAGACACAGAGCAAGCATCAGAACCGGATTCAGCCAGGAGTACTGAAATTGTCAGCCTGGGAATTTAAAACAACTATAACTGATATGCTAAGGGCTCTAATAGAAAAAGTAGGCAACAATCAAGAACAGATGGTAATGTAAGCAGAGAGTGAGAGATTCTATGAAAGAATAAAAAAGAAATGCTAAAGATAAACAATGTAACAAAGGAAGAATGCCTTTGTATTGGCTGAGGAAAGAGTCTCTAAGCTTGAGGATATGTCAATAGAAACCTCCAAAATTGAAAAGGCAAAAACGAAGAGGACGGGGTGGGGGGGGGCGGACAGATCAGAATAGTTCATAAGAATTGTATACAAAAGGTATAACAAATGTGTAATGGTAATACCAGAAGGAGAGGAAAGAAAAGAACAGAAGCTCTAAAATCAAAGAGCCAAATTCCAAACAAGTGCTGCTGAGAGGCCAGGGGCTCCCTTTCTCATCCAGCCTAGAGTCAAAAGGTAGAGGCTCCACTTCAAGGAAGGAGTGGGACTCCTGATCCCCCACCCCATGTCCTACTTATAACACAGGGGTGGCACTCTGAGACAAGTGTGCCATTGTCTCCACCCCCACCTCCAGAGGAGGGCTCAGCAATTTTTCCCAGGGGAGAAAGCACTGCATGAGAACAAACTGCCTCAAAGCTCTTCCCAAAGGAACTAACTTTATTTCAGTGTGCAGAAGTTCAAGCCTAAGGGGGTCTTGAAAATAATGGAGAATTTGGTGGTAAGCAATTAAGAGAAGGTTGATGGGTCCATTAGAGACAATAAACTAATAATGTAGGCCGGCTAGTTTACTGGAGAGAAACAGGGAAAGAGACAAATAAGAAGAACCCTTCTTGTGGGTTCTGAGGCCTGAACAAAACTCAAAGACATGCTTCAAAAACTATCTTGCAAAAGGGGTTCAATTTAACTGGGTCAGACTGGAAAAATTTATGTCCCAGAGCATTGTCAAAAACAAGAGAGCAATCAGTGAGCAATGAGTGGAGCCTAACAGGTGGGAGTGTTACTGCAGAGACAGTAAAAGACAGCCTTACTAGGGGCACCTGGGTGGCTCAGTCAGTTGAGTGCCTAACTTCGGCTCAGGTCGTGATCTTGGGGTCCTGGGATTGAGCTCTGCATCGGGCTTCACACTCAGTGGGAATCTGCTTCTCCCTCTCCCTGTACCTCTCCCCTGCTCCTGCTCACTCTCTTTCTCTCAAATAAATAAATAAAATCTTAGAGACAGAGAGGAGAGAGAGAGAAAGAAGAGAGAACCCTACTAAATCCATGTCATCCCAGGGTGACTGTGCTCATGCCCTGAGAGTGTCAGGAGAGGCTTCATATTGCTGGGGAATGGGGAGATAAAATTCATTGAAATAGTAAAGCCAAGTCAATAAACAAGCAAAAAAAAAAAAAAACAAAACAAAAAAAACAAGCCCTGGAGTCAGGAGGAATCAATCTTCAGGCTTGCCATAATATATGACCTAAAATGTCCAGTTTTCAAGAAAGAAATTACGAGGCACATAAAGAAACAGAAAAATATATATACCCATATACCAGAAAAAAAGTAGGCAATAGAAACTGTGAGAGGGCCCAGATGTCAGTTTTTACAAAATTTCAAAACCATTATAAATATGTTCAAAGAATTATAAGAAATCATGCTTAAAGAAGAGAAGGGAAGATGAAAATGTTTCATCAAATAGAGATTATCAATGAAGAGACAGAAATTATACATATAAAAAGAAATTCTGGAGCTAAAAAAGGACAACGTGGGCAGCCTGGGTGGCTCAGCGGTTTAGTGCCACCTTCAGCCCAGGGTCTGATCCTGGAGACCCAAGATGGAGTCCCACGTCAGGCTCCCTGCATGAAGCCTGCTTCTTCTCCCTCTGCCTGTGTCTCTGCCTCTCTCTCTCTCTCTCTCTCTCTCTGTGTGTGTGTGTCTGTCATGAATAAATAAAATCTTAAAAAAAGGACAACGCAAATGAAAAATTCATTAGAGCAGCTAAGTATAGATCTGAACAAAGAATCAGTAAACTTGAAGATAGATCAATTGAGATTATGCATTCCAAAGAAAAGAGAGAAAAAAATAATGAAAAATGAAGAGAGTCTCAGAGAAATGTGGGACACCATTAGCTATACCCAGTACATACCAAACAGGAATATAAGGAGAAAATAATGAATAAGGAGCAGTGAGAAATGGCATAGGTTAGAAAGCAATGATGTATTCTTGCTGTTTTATTGAGCCAGAATCCGGGGAAAGGGCATTAGTTTCATTTAATAGTCATTTTATTGCTATTTGCTGATTTTTCTAGGATTCAGATGTTACAATGTTACAGAGATAAGGTGGAGGAATTTCTAAAAACAAATGGCTGATTATAAAAACGAATGTAAGATGGGCCTAAAAGGTACACAAAATATATTCTATTATAATATATAAATATATATATAAATATATACATGTGTATATTATATAGGTGTGTCTGTGTATATATATATACACGTATATATGTGTTTATATATGTACATACACACTCATGCATAAATATATAAAATATATTCTTATATGCTGTGGAAATGCAGCCACTGACTGATCAGGAGATGCGGAACCAAGTTTCAGCCTGCTTTCTTATACTGTCCTCTGACAATGTATTTTTTTTTTTTTTTTTGCTGAAGCTAAAGTGGGGCAGGAGGCTTAGACCAGATTCTTCAGGGTCATCTTTGGCTTCAAGGAGTGGATGACTAAGCCAATTGACTCCAAGTTCCCACTCCAACTTCAACCAGAGCTAAAGACTGGCTGTCTTAAATACTAGGATTTTCATAATAGATCAACAGACAATTAAAGTGGTTTCATCTCTAAATAAAAAAATACAAAAGCCCTTGGACTAGATAATCTAACATTACTTCCAGATGCAACAATCCAGGAGCACAACACCAGAGTTAGGTAGAGAGCTTTCATAAGGATATTCAAAACAATTGCAAATATTGGTAATAAGCCAAACAGATGTTTTTAAAAACTAGTGTTTTGATTTAAGGAAACAAGTAAATATTCTATTTCATTTTTATTTTATGATCTCATTTTTGCTACTTAGAGACATTAATCATAAACTTACTTTTGCTTTTCACATCTCCAGGTGCCTCTTTTAGCTAATCTCATTCATAATTTAATAGGAAAACACTCGATTCTGAGACCTTTTAGAAAAATGCCATAAGGTACTACAGTAAATATATACAGCCCTATCCTTAAATGTAAGGTATACTTACCTATGGTCAGGAAATCTGATCGATACTGACAAGTCATTCCAAAGCCAAACTCTCGCCAAAAGCCAGAATCCTTTTTGTGAACCTTCATTTAAAAAAAAGAAATTCAATTTAATCCCTCAAGATTCAGAAGTTTCGATCAACAATGAAAGATCCACCCAGGGATCCCCCTCAGCAAGTATTTTAATCTATCAGACATAGTACAGGGAGCTGGACACAGCAATGAATAGAGATGACGAAGTCTCTGCCATCAGAGTCTCTGTTTTGTTGGAAAAATAGGAAATACATAAACACACACACACACACACACATATATATATATATATATATATATATATATATATATATATATATATATATATCTTAGGTGGTAATACATGCTAGGAAGAAAAAATGTAGCAGGAGGGATCCCTGGGTGGCGCAGCGGTTTGGCGCCTGCCTTTGGCCCAGGGCGCGATCCTGGAGACCCGGGATCGAATCCCACGTCGGGCTCCCGGTGCATGGAGCCTGTATCTCCCTCTGCCTGTGTCTCTGCCTCTCTCTCTCTCACTGTGTGCCTATCATAAATAAATAAAAAAAATTTAAAAAAAAATGTAGCAGGACAAGGGGAGAGCATGAGAAAGAGAAAGCCTAGTTCAGATATAATGGCCATAGGGGCCTCTCTGAGAAGATAGGGCCCCTAATGAAATACTGAAGTGAGCTGTGAAATATCTAAAGGAGATCATTCCAGACAAAGAGGGTAACACGTATGATGGCTATGAAGGGAATGAGTAGGGCAAAAGCAGAGGAATGAAGTCCTGTGGACAAGAAAGGGCTATTAGCATTTTTAAAAGATAACTGGGATTACAGTATTTTTGTATGCATATGGCAACAATCTAGAAGAAGCATAACATTAGGATAGGAGAGTGTGAAGAATGGCTGGAGGTGAGTCCTTGTTCAGACGAGATGAGCTCTAGTTCAAGAGAATAGGACAGGGTGGCCTTACATGTGCAATTCCTCCACTGTGAATGGAGAGAGGCTGACGAAAGATGAAGCAAGGTGTGCAGAGAGCGAGGAGTGGTGAGGGGTGCTGGGAGACACGAGAAGGAGAACATCGGGCAGCCTGGGTGGCTCAGCAGTTTAGTGCCACCTTCAGCCCAGGGCGTGATCCTGGAGACCTGGGATTGAGTCCCACGTTAGACTCTCTGCATGGAGCCTATTTCTCCCTCTGCCTGTGTCTCTGCCTCTCTCTCTCTCTCTCTCTCTCTGTCTCTCATGAATAAATAAATAAAATCTTTTTTTTTAAAGGAGGACATCATGGCTGGCTTGCAGGGATGAGGGATGGACAGTGGGTAGACTATGGTCAGGCTCAGGATGTCAGCTGCAGAACCCTGAGGCCTGTGGTCATGTATTTAAAGCAGTGGTCCTATAGTGATGCGGTGTGTTTCTTACCTTCCCCATTCCACTGCTCAGGGGCCTGGGTAAGAGTTGCCCTTAACCAGCCTGGGGTTGTGGGGTTGTAAGAGAAAACACTGGACAGGGTGAGGGATGAAGGTGAGTATAGCAAGGAAGCTGTGGATAATGACTATGGAGTTGGGGGTTGGATAAAGAGGGATGTGAGGATGTGGACATGAGGATGACAGAAAGGAGAGAGGCAACTCGTCCAAGTGCAAGGTCCTGAGACAGCCTCCTCAAAAAAAAATGAAGTTGGACCTAGGGTCTGAGATAGAGAGGAGTAAGTCAAGTGAAAGATGTGCTGGGGGAAAGCTCTAGATGAAAGAACAGGTTGTGCAAAGAGCTGGAGATTGGAGAGAGCGTCGTGAATGAAGGGACCACGTTAGACACAGAAGTATAGGTGCCCACAAATGTAGACCAGAGCTCAGCAAACTTCTGTAAAATAGGCAGTAAATATCTTAGGCTCTGAAGAACATAATGTCTGTCATAACTATTCAACTTAGCCACTACAGTGTGAAAGCTGACAATAAGTAATCAAATGAGCATGCTGTGATCCCATAAATTATATTTGTGGCCACTGAAATTTTTATTTCATATCATTTTAATGTGCCATGAAATATTATTTTGAAAATATTTTTTAACCATTCTTCATTCATGGGCCATAGAAAACTAGGCAGTAAGCTGTTTTGGCCAGCAGGTTGTAGACTCCTAACCCCTGCTTTAAGGGACCCACTGGGCCATAACAGAGAGAATGGGATACCTGGGCACATACTTTGGCTTTATCCCATTAACAACGGGAATTCTCTGAAGAGTCAGAGCAGAAGAAATCATGGCATCAGATGACATTTTTGAAAGATCACTCTGGCTAGAGTACAGAGAAGAGATATAAGAGGGGACAAGAAGGAATGCTGAGTTATAGGGATGCCTGGTTGGCTCAGTAGTTGAGCGTCTGTCTTCGGCTCAGGGTGTGATCCCGAGATCTGGGATCGAGTCCCGTACTGGGCTCCCTGCAGGGAGCCTGCTTCTCCCTCTGCCTACGTCTCTGCCTCTCTCTGTGTCTTTCATGAATGAATACATAAATCTTTTTTTTTAAGGAGGTAACAGTTATAATCTGGGAATGGAAACCTAATGGTTTAGAGTATCATGCAGAAAGGAAAATTGCAGGGAGCCTGCTTCTCCTCTGCCTATGTCTCTCCTCTCTCTGTGTCTCTCATGAATAAATAAATAAAATCTTAAAAAAAAGAAAGTAACCCTATGTGTTCAACATCCTTTGTCCAATCACAGATAGGAACAACCTAGCGACCAGAACTAGCTAGTGTGAGGTTTGTGCCACCTCTGAGCCTCAGGGTTTACAGGTTTAGATCTGTAGAAGCTTCCACCCTCTCCTACCCCAATTCACAAGGCCCACCCGTTTGAAGTATGCAGTTAGGATATACTGCCACTGGGTAGTGGATCTCAGTATCATTCCTAAGGTCTCAACTATAAATTGCATATTTTGAAAGAGATTCAAAGTTTATCCACTGATGTTTCTGTTCATATTATTTATGAAAAGAAATGTTTTCCTTCAAAGTGCAAATATTTAAATGTGTCCTAAGAAGGAATACAAGTGATGTTGAATCGGTTTGATACGTAATTTCTAAGGGAAATATTAGATCCTCCTCACTAACCTTTGTTATAAAACACAGTTTAATCCAACCCTGTTCTTTATATAAATATCATATAGAATATCCCTTCTAACACTTCTTGAATTCTAAATTTCAAAGCAATATTTTAAATATTTACCTATGACTTTTTAGCCTTCAACAACTTTTGCCTTGCAAACCTGGAAGATTTTGAAATACATCTTCATTTCTCCTAGTATTTTGTTTCTTCTGGCTGTTGTACTCTGCTGAATTGCTAGTGATACATGGATAAATCTTCCCACACCTCATTAGAGCAAGAGAGATCATGCCAAGAACCAAAATATAAATCAGTCAAAAGCCATTGTAAGAATAAGTAATACTCAGCACTAAAAATAAGCAAACTATTGATACACATAACTAAGATGCATCTCAAGGACATGATTATGAGAAAAAAAGCCACACCCAAAGGTCATCCACTGTATGATTCCATTTATATAACATTCCCCAAATGACAAAATCATAGAGATGAAAAGCAATTCATGATTGGTAGGGAGGAGGAGGCAGGTATGACTCTACAGAGTAGCAAGAGAGAGATCTTTGTGGTAATGGAGTAGTTTTATATCTTGACTGCAGTGGTGGCTACACAAAGTTACAAATGTGATAAAATGATACAAAACTATACATACAATGGACCGATTTCAATTTCATGGTTTTGATATTGTAATAACTATGTGAGATAGTTTCCCCATGGGGGGAAACTGGGTGAAGGGTACCAGAAACACTTTGTACTATCTTTCCAATTTCCTATGAATATAAAAGAATTTCAGGGGCACCTGGTGTCTCAGTCAGTAAAGCATCTGCCTTCAGGTCAGGTCAGGATTCCAGGGTCCTGGGATCGAGCCACACATCCACCTTGGACTCCCTGCTCAGCAGAGAGCTGGCTTCTTCCTTTGCCCCTCTCCTTGCTCATGCTCTCTCATGTTCTCTCTCTCTCTTTCTCCCTCTGCCTCTCTCTCTCTCTCTCTAAGTAAATAAATATTTTAAGAAAAATAATTTCAAAATAAATTTTTAGAGAAAATTTTAAAAAGAATTAAGAGGGGCACCTGGGTGGCTCAGGCAATTAAGCATCCAACTCTAACTTCTGATTCAGGTCATTGTCTTAGGGTGGCAAGATCAAGCCCCATGTTGGGCTCCACACTCAGTAGGGATCTGCTTCTCTTTCCTGCTCTCCCTTTGCCCCTCCCTCCACTCATGCATGCTCTCTCTCTCTCTCTCTCAAATAAAGAAATCTTTTTTTAATTTAAATAAAAAGAACAAAGAAACCAATATCTTTTAATAATCAAAGCTTAGATACCTGAAATTTATACATTAGAAATTGGTTTGAAGTACACCATCAGTTGTGGGCACCTTCTGTCCTGTTGTGTCTAGAGATGAAGTGAGGCAGTAAAACTCCCAGATTCCAGGTAGGAACAAATGAGTTTTATCTCACTACATCATGTTCTACATCACCACAGTGCAATTCATTTATACAGTTTGAGGATCCATGTACCATAATTTCTATATTGAGTTTGGATTTTAGCTTGAGTCTTAATTTCTAAGTTTGTGCTTCTTTTTGGCTTCTACCTATTGAAACAACATGTTTTTTTTTAATGCTTTAAACTTGAATGTCTGTATTCAATAATACAGCACCTTAGAATGTTGCATTTTTTTCTTTATTACTTGTCATATAGTTTTATTACTCCTTGAAAAATTGTTTTCTTTTATTGTTCTGGGCTAGAGACTGTTAAAAGGTGGCAGCAGTTGCTCAGAATAACAACAACATTTTATGGAGAAGTTTAGAACCTTTATTCCATGAAGAAAAGTCATTCTGAAGTTTTAATGGTGCCCCTATCAATCATCACAATTATGTTCTTGTTTGAACCTGCACTACTGGAAAACAATGTGTGATATTCCCCCAAATCAAATTTTAATGAATAACAACTTGGTATTTACTGCATTGTTATTGTATTCTGGTAGCTTTGATTTACACTTGAATCCTATCAACCATATATGGAGTTGATATGAAAGGCATTCCCCAGGCTAAAAACGGGCTATATTCTATTCACAAATTGATGATTTTTAAACATAAAACTTATTTTCTCGTAGTAACACTATGACTTATAGTTGATTCACAGATTAATCTACAGTCAGATTTAAACCTACAATTGGATGTATTACAACCAGAACTGTCATGGACCTATCCACTATCATTAAAGATTTGTTGATGTTGTTCCAAAAAATCAAACAAATGCACAGTTCTTTGAGGAAGATATATTCAAACAACAGAGTAAAATGTCCCATATTTCCTCATATTACGTTTTCTAACTCCAATTTCTTATAATCTTGCTCACATTTTGTCCAATTCTGGCCTCGTGTTGACCTCCTAAGTTCAGTGGGAGATAAGGCCTCCTGCAGGAAGTTCAGATTCCACAAAGGGCACCCTGCAGGGCAAGGAGGGCAATTTGAATCCCTTTGCACCTCATCTTCCTTGCCAGTCATCAGATCAGTGGCTCTCAATCTGAAATGCATCCTTCCCTATCTGCTCTGTGATACTGTTATTGTTAGCCCTTTGAGCACTTCTCTTTCAGAGTGAACACAGCATCTGAGGATGCAGGAGGGACACTCTTCTTTGGGGTCTCTGTGTGGGCGTGAGGGTATCAGCCTGGTTCTGCCAGAGACACTGATACAGAGTGCTTCTTTGTCCATCCATCCACCTTGCAGCCTCCACATGCTGTGGCCTTTCCATGGGAACCTGAGCCCCTCTAAGAGCACCAGCACGGTAGAAGCCTCATACCCCAATTCCCTCTGTGGCCCTCACAACCCTCTGCCCCTCTTGTGCCATGTAGGTTCCTACTGAGCCTCTGGAACCCATGGCTCTGCAATCCTGCCCTACTTGCTAATCACCTGCTCGCTTCCTGCCACTCCCATTCCTGCTGGGCCAAAGCTGTAAACTTCTTCTCTACTATCTGGGGTGGAGAAGGGGACAAATAGAATGGGCAACATGAGAGAGACAGTAAACCTAAAGAAGAGGTTAATCCTAAAAGTAGGGTGATGGTTGGACATATGCTAACATGCATCATTCCATTCTTCTCAACAGCAAAGAAATGACTGTACCTACCAAAAGAAAATTCAAACAAGGAGATTTCATAGGTTGAAATGAGAGAGCTCCATGGGGCTGCTAGTCAACATCTAAATGGCTTTCCTGGGAGATAATGAAGAGGTGGAGGTTTCTGTTTCAGGAGGAGAGATTGAGAGTCCTTGGGAAGCTTCAAGACTCCTTGGTCTCTTGGCGATGTCCTTGGATTGACCACACCAGATATTTGTGTGTAAATTGTATCCTGATGACCAGACTGTTTATGTATTTGGAGGGGAAGGAGGATCTATGTTTGGTCAGATCTGTTAGCTTCATTTAGCATGATTTATACTTTATCATGTTGACTATATATCCTATCCCCCAGGAAGTCCAAGTTTTTCTTTTTGTTATATCTCAGCTTGGTCGCACAGAATTTAAAAAAAAAAAAGGCTTCTGATGTGTCTCAGAGATTTAATATCATACCAATTAGACAACGCTGGTCAGTAATTTTTTTTAAAAAGTCAAGGCAGAGAGTTCTAAAACGCAGATTGTCTGAGGAGGGATGGGTCTGTTTGAGAAGTCATTACCACCCATCAGTAAAGGTGTCCCAAGCAGAAGTTGGACATTGGAGCTGGAAAAGTACAGAAAGGCAGAAAACCATAGAGGTCTTATCGGCCCATGACTTCTAGGATTCTAAAAGCTGGGGGGAATTTGAACATTAAAATAATTACACTTAAGTTCATTGAATTCAATTTTAGCCTATAATTCTAATATACTATTTGTGTGGCACAGATGCAGTTCCATTCTTTCCCGAAAGGAGACAACCCGTGTCCTTCAAAGTGTAATTCTTGTGCACAGAGTTGACATTCAGAAAACGTGATCTGAGAGGCCATGCACCTCAAACGGTAAACAATAAAGGAATACTTACCCCTAAATTTTGACAGTGACCTTTAAGTATTGTTCTATTTCCTTCCTGTCTAATAATATTAAGGTTTAGGTTGGAATATGGAAGCATGAATTTAGCTCTGGGGAAAATACCACTGTTTATAACCATGGGAAGAATTAAAAAGGAAGGTGGAGTTTTTTAAAGAGTTTTAAAATGATAATCCATGGGTACAATAGACTAAAAAAGTAAAAACAGACATTTTACTTCCAACATGTTTTTATTAAATTTCATGTTTTATTTTTAATAAAAAAATAACTTAAACATACTCTCTTGTGACAAACTGCCATAAGCTAAACTTTCTTAGATTAGCAAAGGGATTAATAACTTAAGTTGATATTGATATAAATTAGCTGTGAAGCTGAATAATGCTTTTGGGTATGAAGGAAGGATTAAACCAGAAACTAATTAGGCAATGAATGATCCAAATGACTGTGTAGAATTAAGATTTGAAAGTACTTGTGATTTGGAGTCAAAAGATCCACATTCTATTCCCATGTCTGCCACCTGATGAAATTTACTTGCCTCCAAGCGCACAGTTTCTTCACAAGTGAAAGGCGGGGGCTGAATTAGATGATTGTTGAAATCTTCTCTGCATCTGGCAATCTATGATTTAGCAGGTTCACAAGTCATCCAAAAATAACCTCTGGTCCAAGCTGATTAATTTAAACAAAAGTCCTATATTCATTGATTCAATAAATATTTATTAAGCAAATGTTACCTAAAAAGCGTTGTAATAATGTTGTAATAGATATTCGAAATGCAAAGTTTGTCGAAGGAAGTTTGAGTCTGACCTATCTGTACCTCATCCCAATAGAGGTATCCTGAAGAGCATCAAAAGGCACATACAGTTTGGGAGAGAGGTTGGAACTGGAGCTAGGGATTTGTGAGGGATCAGCATGTACTTCTCTTTTGAATCAGTGAATCATTAATACTAAAGGTGAGCACCAAGGGTCGCATTTATTAAGGTAGCACATAGACCCATGTTTTCTTCTGGCCTATGGAATCTGGTGACAGATAGTACTGCCATTGATTCCTCATTCTCAGGCACAAACTACTTTTCTTCTCTCCTGTATTCTCCATAGCTGTCATCGTTATGTCTCTCACTTGAAATGTCTTGTAGTTATTAAAATAATTTCTCAAGAGTATACACATTTCAAAGGTAATTTAGTAACCTAAAGGGATTATCTGACAACAGTGGAATGTTGGGCATCAGTGATAAGCTCTTGGAGGGATATTTCTATGAGGGGGGTATTACTAAGGCCTTAAAATTATATCATCAAGGTGAACATAAATTATGCTAATGCAAAATGCATATTCTTGAGTTTGCTTTTGCAAGCCATGGTAAATCGTTCTGTTCTTAAGATTAAACGGTAGTATCCTACTTACTTCCACTTTCGATATAGACATACCCAGGCAAATCACATATGTATTTACTAAATTGCTCAAGTACTTCCCATTTTCAGGAGGTTTTGTGTGCATGTATAACCAAGAAATATTCTCATACTTAATGGTACTGTGAACAGATTTCTGTTATTTATATGCTCTTCATACTCAAATCAGTGTATCATAGAGTACAATTTCTTTCACTCTATATCTTTCATTAGATCTATCTCTATCTCACTAAGCATTCAGTTAAATATGCTCAACAGAGTTTATCAGTTAAATATGCTCAACATGAGAGTAATGAATTCATTCATTCATTTATTTATTAAACCTATATAAGTTGAGGTCCTAATATATACTAAGTGCAGCTTAACTTTTTAAGAATATAAAAGTGAGTTGGGATACCTAGGTGACTTTGTTGGTTAAACATCTAATTCTTGATTTCAGCTCAAGTCATGATCTCAGGGTCGTGAGACTGAGCCCTTTGTTGGGCTCTGTGCTGGGCACGGAGCCTGCTTGGGTTTCTCTCTCCCCTTCTGCCTCCACCTCTTCCCCCTTTTCTCTCTCCCTTCTCTCTCTCTCTCAAAAAAAATATATGTAAAGATTTATATAAAAGTGGATGTATAAAAAACAGAGTATTTCAACTGTCAAGTGGGAAAGACAAGCAAACTGAAAGAGTTCTATCATTGCTTATAATATAAAAATTATATATATATATATAATGAAAAGTCAAATAAAACTTTAAGAGCTATAAACAGAAGATGAATTAATAATCATATATCCAATGTCCATACTGCCCAAAGCTATTTATAGAGTCAATGGAATCTCTATCAAAATTTCAATAACATATTTCACAGAAATAGAAAAAAAATAATCCTATGAATTATATGTAACAACAAAGTCCCCTAATAGCCAAAGCAATCCTGAGAAAGAACAAAGCTGGAGGTTTCACACCTCCTGGTTTCAAATTATATTACAAAACTATTATAATCAAAATAGTATGGTATTGGCAAAAAAAAAAAAGAGATAGATGAAAACAGATATCGGCAAACATAGACTAATGGAACAGAATTGAGAGCCCAGAAATAAACCTACACATATACAGTCAACTAATATTTGACTAGAAATCCAAGAATACTCAATGGGGAAAGGGTAGTTTCTTCAATAAATGGTGTTGAGAGAACAGGATATATTACATGCAAAGGAATGACTTTGGACCCCTATCTTAACACCAGTCAGAAAAATTAGTTTGTGGTAGATCAAGTTCTTAAATGTAAGACCTGAAACTATACAACTTTAGAAGAAAATACAGGGTAGAGCTTCCCAACTTTGGTCTTGGCAGTGATTTTTTGAATATGAAAACAAAAACATAAGCAGCAAAAGGAAAAATCAACAAGTGGAACCACATCAAACTAGAAGGCTTCGTTGCAGCAATACAAACAAAACAAAAAGGCAACACAGTATAGAGAAAATATTTGCAAACCATATATCTGATAAGTGATAATATCCAAAATATGGAAGAACTCATCAACTCAATAGCAGAAAAACAAATAATTAAAAAAAGGCAAGGATCTGAATAGACATTTCTCTAAAGAAGACATAAATGGCCAACAGGTCCATGAAAAGGAGCTCAACATCACTGAACATCAGGAAAATGCAAATTACAACCCCAATGAGATGACATCTCACACCTGTTAGAATGTCTGTTATCAAAAGGCAAGAGAAAACAAGTACTGGTGATGTTATGGAACCTTTGTGCAGCATTGATGGGAATGCAAATCGGTATAGCCATTCAGAAAACCAGTATTGAAGTTCTTCAAAAAGTCAAAAATGGAACTTCCATAGGATCCAGCAATCCCATTTCTGGGTATATATCCAGAAATATATAAGAGAATGAAATCACTGTCTCCGAGGGTTGTCTGCACCCATGTTCATTGCCATTATTATTCATAATAGCCAAGACATGGAAACCTAAGTGTACATCAACAATGAATAGATAAAGAAATAAGGACAATGTGATTTTATATCTCTATATAGATATAGAATAGATCAGCCATATTATTCAGCCAAAAATAGAAAGGAAATCCTGCCATTGTCAACAATGTGGATGAATCTAAGGGCATTATGCTAAGTGAAATAAATCAAAGAAAAGACAAATATTGTATGATCTCCTTTACATGTATAATCTTAAAAAAGCCAAACTCAGAGAAACAGATAGTAGACTGGTGCTTGCCAGGGGCTGGGGGGCAGGGGAAATGGTATTGGTCAAGGATTATAAACTTCCAGTTCTAAGATTCATAAGTTCTAGGAATCTAGTAGACAGAATGATGACTATAGTTAACAGCACTAAGGTTGTATACTTGAAAATTATTAAGAAAATAGATCTTAAGTATTCTGACCATCAAAAGAAGGTAATTTGTGAGACGATGAATGTGTTAACTAATTTTCTAGTGGCAATCATTTTGCCATATATACAACGATCAAATCAGCATGTTGTACATCTTAAACTTCCAAACGGTATATGTCAATTATATATGAATAAAGTTGGAAAAATACAAGACTTT